GTGTAAGACTAGAGTCATCACCACCCACCGGCAACTCTTAGTCTAATATTTTACCAACGAATACCGTCACGGCTGAAAGGGCGAACATGTTTGGTGGGACGGGGATTACGAACCCGCGACCCTCAGATTGCGAGTCGAGCGCCTTATCCACCTGGCCATGCCTCTTCAGTTCTAACAAAAGATATAAAATAGTAGTGAAACAGTTGATGAGTTTTTTTTTTTCCATGTTTCAGCAGCTGCTTTATAACGATGCTTTATACTTGTAGCATTGCGCTACGTTACGTACTATAATAATAAAAACTTTGTGCTTAAAAATTATCACTAAATAATTGTTAGTTTTGTTCCATTCTTAATTCATTTATTACTACAAGACTAAAGCTGATATTTAAACTTATTGTAACTCCTGTCGTGTAGAAACCGGAACTCCTCTGTGTCAAAAGTTCTCACATCATATTACATTATTGTTGAAACTGTCAAGTTTTCGATATCCTTGTCTGAAATGGAGAAGTGTAAATTCCGAGTGACAATCATTTAACGTCGGAGGGTATTCGTTATTTACAGTAAAATGTTTACAGAATTATTGTATGATGACGATATCAGTCATTACTTGTTTTCTTTCTCCTTTAAAAACTTTTTCGTGTGAAACAGACTTTACGTTTTCAGTTTCGGCAAGAACTGGTTGATATTTACCATCAGCTTCGGAGAGTTTGCGAGGACCTTAAGAGACGAAAGGCAACTTTGTCAAAAGACAATGGTAATCCCCCTTCCCCTGATGACATCCAAGTTCACGAGATGAGGATTGGTACAATCACTGGAGTTTTGCAGGAACTGAAGCTTCTATTGCAAGATCTGTTTGTCAACCACACAAAATCTGTAAGTTATTTTGTTTGTTTTTTTACAGTAAATCCTTCAGTACAACACTCGAAGAACCTATCATTTCGAGAGATCTTAGGGGAGGGGGGGCAAAGAAGACTGACCTCGAGTGCCCCCTACCCCACAATTCAGCAGGGAACCCTACACAATAGCGTAATCTGCGTGTTTGTGTTAATTCGGCCTAATTAGAAATGTCTTACTAAATCTACCATTTCAGGCCCTTTCTGAGGTTGAAGAGAGCGACTGCCTCTGTCCCCCCCCCCCAAATGGTGCCTCTGTTGTATACGAGTTTGTAAAAATAACTGCTTTCCGCGTATCCTTTAGCCTTCTATTGTATGTGGTGCCATCTGTTGATTACATTGAAAATAAGTATTTTTTTCCGTATTTAAAATGGTTTACGGACAGTTTCATTTGATTTATTTTAAATTTCGTACAAAGCCGACCCTTATTTAGTAGTGACAAACTAAGAGGTAATACAGCTAGTAAACTTCACCCATCACCAATTCTTGTGCTACTCTTTTAAGAACGAATAGTGGGATTTACCGTCAACTATAACGCCCCCTCGGTTGAGCATGTTCGGAGATGGGGATTCGAACCAGGAGTCCGCAGGTTGCGAGTCTGGTGTCCTGTCCACCTATCCTATTTTGCAGCCAGAGGATGTTCATCGATTACGCGTAACATTTTAAAATTCGAATATATTAACTATACATAACGAAAAAAGTAAATTTAGCATACGGTGTACAGTTGTGGTATAAGAGTAATTTTGATGTTTTATCGGATCATGAATTAGTCTTAACTAATGCAGTATCTATAGGTTTAATCTTCTAAGCCTACAAAGATTGAGACAGGTACTCATGTAGTATCTATAGGTTTAATCTTCTAAGCCTACAAAGATTGAGACAGGTACTCACCCCCCCCCCTCTCCCCACAACCAGAAATCTGCCCGTGTTAGGTCGGGTGAACCGTTTGCGAGATATGACGCGCCGAACTACGAAACTTTCTTTGTAATCATCCAGTATCTAACAAAATTGCGTTCTCAACATCTTCCCGAACTTCAGCAATTTATAAAAAAACTTACTTTTGTTGTTAGTTCTTTGATTTCTTTTGATTTTTTCGTCAGGTCATCTGTTTTTTCTACGAGATTTTCATGAATCTTTTCAATCCCGCCATTTTCAACAGTCTGGCAGACAATACAGGGCTGGAAAAGTTGAGGCTAAGTTATCAAATCGTATTTGTTGGAAGGAATAGCGTAATAATCTTCAAAATTTCTTATGGAAAAACAAACAACAACAACAGAATGAGTATGACACGCAAGTTAGGTCAAACATTAACCCTTCCATACGTAGGGCGCTTTTACAAATTGGCAGAGAAATTTTTTAAAATGTTAATATTTTAGTGGGTGTTACGTTTTTTAATAATTATGTTACTTTTCTCCCCCCCCCCCCCAGATTGCAAGGAACACAACCTGGATTTTCAGATAATTGTAACCTTGTCCGTTAAAAAAAATATATTTTTTTTTATCGAATATAACAAATTATCTGATAAACCTGAGTACCTGTCTCAATCTTTGTAGGCTTAGAAGATTAAACCTATAGATACTACATACATAAGTCATGCGTGTAGCGTGGAAAGCTTCGTACAATTCCAGACTTTAATGTTGCAATTGTCCGGGAAGAGGCCAGTTGCTATGATTGATCAGACATTAATTCACTGGTGATCCTGGCGGTAGCATATGACAGCTGTGACATTTGGATCCACATCCCTATGCATTTTAACCTTCCCATGCTTTACCGTTTACGAGATATGACGCGCTGAACTGTGCAGTTATATAATCACCTTGTACTGTATCGTCATGTAAAAGTACAAATAATATTGTAAATTTCAATTAAGTAAGCCTGCCATTATTTTGAGCAGTACAGATGTACCCAAAAATGTATTTGATTTTTTGTTTGTTGTTAAGCACAAACTACATCGAATCCCGATTTTTGGCGTTATAAGCCCTCAGACTTACCGCCGAGCCAACGTGGGTCACACCGTTAATTTGTTTGTTTGTTTGTAGTTAAGCATAAAGCTACACAATGGACTATCTGTGTTTTGCCCACAACGGGTATCGAAACCCGAATTTTAGCTTTGTAAGCCCCATACTTACATCTGAGCCATTGGGGTTAAATTCATTTGAAGCCTTAGCTTTTGAACTGACTACAACCTTTCATAGGAGGCTCGACTTGCGTACCGACACGACAGAAATAATATCAAAGCTCGTGACGAACGTGCCATATTGTTGCTCATATATACCAACTACATGTTTGTATAACGATAATGAAATATCACATCGGATGAGTTGTTACATCCACTTCTTTGTGTCTCGAGTCTTTCTATCCACAAAGATTCTAGCACAGTGATACTTTACCATCTTGAAGTCCAAAGACAAGTTAATCACCCAGGCTGTGTCGTAGTGTTGAAGAACACAATCATCTACCAGG